CTAAAAATCAAGAAAATATTAAAAACCTTTAAAAGCTCTTTTGGTAAAATAGCTTTAAAAAGGTCATAAATATAGTAAACTGACATAACAAACCATAAATTTATAAAGAAAACACATTTTTATTAAAATTTTAATGAAATTTAGAAAAAAGCTTTCAAATAATAAATTATCTGGCAACATTTAAGTATATTTAAGGCAACATTTAAGTATGTTTTAAAGCTTTTTAGTTAAAACAGCTTAAAAAAACCTCAAATATAAAAATATAATTTAAAATTAATAATATTATTATTAAGAAACATTTTTCTTTAAATTTTAAGAAAAATTTATAATAAAGCTTTTTAAAGCTTTTAAGGTTCTTTCTTAAAATTGCTTAAAAATGCTAAAAATATAAAAATATTATATAAAATTACTAAATTTATTGTCAAGAAACATTTTTCTACAAATTTTAAGAAAAATTTTTAATAAAGCTTTTAATAGCTTTTAAGTAAAACTTGAAATATACAGCGAAATTCTATTGAGAACGTGTTATATTCACATTTTAAAGTGTTTTGAATGATTTTCTGGCAAAATTTGCGAAAAATATAAAAAAAGCTTTAAAAGCTTTTTTTACTGAAACTGCTTAAAAAGAGCTTTGGATATAAAAATATTTCTTTAAAATAATATATTGCAATACAAGACTTAATATTTTCTAAATTTTAAAAGAATTTGGAAAAATGCTTTAAAAGCTTTTAATTAAAATTGTAAGAATATTGCAAAATTTTAGTTTTTTACGTAAAATACAAGCATTTTATAGTGTTTTCTTAGGTTAGTTTGGTAAATTTTTATAAAATTAATAAAAAGCTTTTAATTAAATTATATTAAGTGTCAAATTAATATCAATTAGCTTCAAATTTTAACAAAAATTTGCCGCACCTTAATAGATTTTTATGCTAATTTTCTATTAAAACAAAAACTTTAAATTTTTAATAGATTTTTGAAAAAAAGAAATATCAATAAATTATTTACTTTTTTTGTCTTTGCAAAATAACCTTCTAATTTGTAAAATTATTATGTTTATTGATAGTTTTTACTAAAATTTTTATGTGTTTTTTTTTGAAAGATTTTGTTTTATGTTTTTATTCTCTTCATATAGTTATTAACTTAATTTTTAGTTATGTTTAAATTTAGTTATAATTCTTTTATGTTTATTGTTTTAAAAAAATGTTAATTTATGTGAAAAGAAAAAAACACAAAATACAATAGCGAGCTTAAGAAATATGGAAGATTTAGAGGGTTTTTTAATGTTTTAAAGATTTAATGTCATTAAAGGTGTGTCTAATAAAAATTAATATGTTTATTAAAGTTAATTATGAATTTTTGTTAAACAAAAAGCTTATTTTTTACAAGTTTTTTATGTTAATTTGAAAATAATAAAAAAGTTGTTAGGAAAACATGTTATAAATTAGCAAATTATAGGGCGAAAATTATAAAGGGGAAATAATTGTTAAAGAAAATAATAATTGTTAAAACTATTTTTTTTTAACAAAAAATTTAAATTTTCCTAAAGTGTAACGAATTTGTAACAAAATTAACATTTAAATGGGGAAAAAATCTTAAATTTTCACCGAATTTAAAGAAAATACTCTAAATTTATAACCAAAACTAATTTATTTAAAATTTTCCCTAAATTTTTATACAATTTGAAAAAAAAAAAACTTTTGAAAGCTTTTTCGCAAAACTTGGCCTTGGTCAAAAAATTCTAATGGTAATGTGAAAATTTCATATTATAAAGAGTTTTAGCAAATTTTCTTATAAAAATCCAGAAAATTAAAAAAGCTTTAAAAGCTTTTTTGCTAAAACTGCTTAAAAAAAGCTTTTACTATAAATATATCATGTATTATTTATAAATATCATCTCAAGAAGCACTATTCTATAAGTTTCAATAAAATTTGGAAAAAAACTTTTTAAAGCTTTTCAAAGTTTTTTTTTGTAAATTTTATTAAAATTTAGGGAAACATTTTTTTTAAAAAGGAAATTAATGAATTACAAAACAAATTTCAGAATTTAAAGCTTTTTTAAATAAAGCTTTATTGGAGAAAAGCTTTTAGAGCTTTTTTTTTAAATCACTAAAAATTTCAGAAAATATGTTATATAATATGACAAAAGCATAAATTAAACATTTTTAATAAAATTTTGCGATTATTTAAACATTTTGTTTAAAAGCTTTTAAAGATTTTTTTCGAATTTTATTTAAATTTAAAGAAAAATGAGTTTTGGAGTTAAATTTATAGATTTAAAATAACATTTTGATATTTAAGGCCATTTAAAAGATATTTTAGAGAAAAAGCTTTTAGAGCTTTTTTGAAAAATTTCAGAAAATATGTTGTATAATATGACAAATGCATAAATTAAACATTTTTAATAAAATTTTGCGATTATTGAAAAATTTTGTTTAAAAGCTTTTAAAGCTTTTTTTTCAAATTTTATTTAAATTTAAAGAAAAATGTGTTTTGGAAATTTATAGTTTTGAAATAACATTTAAATATTTAAAGCCTTTTAAAAGCTATTTTAGAGAAAAAGCTTTCAGAGCTTTTAAAGCTTTTTTTCGAATTTTATTTAAATTTAAAGAAAAATGTGTTTTGGAGTTAAATTTATAGTTTTTTTTAATAACATTTTGATATTTAAGGCCATTTAAAAGCTATTTTAGAGAAAAAGCTTTTAGAGCTTTTTTTTGAAAAGTTTGCTAAAAATTTCAGAAAATATGTTGTGTAATATGACAAATGCATAAATTAAAAATTTTTAATAATATTTTGCGATTATTGAAAAGTTTTGTTTAAAAGCTTTTAAAGCTTTTTTTCGTTTTTTTTTTTTAATTTAAAGAAAAATGTTTTGGAGTTAAATTTATAGTTTTTAAATAACATTTAGATATTTAAAGCCTTTTAAACGCTATTTTAGAGAAAAAGCTTTTAAAGCTTTTTTTGAAAAATTCGCTAAAAATTTAAGAAAATATGTTGTATAATATGACAAATGCATAAATTAAACATTTTTAATAACATTTTGCGATTATTGAAAAATTTTGTCAAAAGCTTTTAAAGCATTTTTTCGAATATTGTTTAAATTTATAGAAAAATGTGTTTGAAAATTCTCTAAAATTTTCAGAAAATATGTTTGTATAATATGACAAATGCATAAATTAAACATTTTTAATAAAATTTTACGATTATTGAAAAATTTTGTTTAAAAGCTTTTAAAGCTTTTTTTCGAATTTTATTTAAATTTAAAGATAAATATGTTTTGGAGTTAAATTTTTAGTTTTTAAATAACATTTTGATATTTAAAGCCCTTTAAAAGCTATTTTAGAGAAAAAAGCTTTTAAAGCTTTTTTGAAAAATTCGCTAAAAATTTTAGAAAATATGTTGTATAATATGACAAATGCATAAATTAAAAATTTTTAACAAAAATTTGCGATTATTGAAACATTTAGTTCAAAAGCTTTTAAAGCTTTTAAAGCTTTTTTTTCGAATTTTATTTAAATTTAAAGAAAAATGTGTTTTGGAGTTAAATTTATAGTTTTTAAATAACATTTTGATATTTAAAGCCTTTTAAAAGCTATTTTAGAGAAAAAGCTTTTAAAGCTTTTTTTGAAAAATCACTAAAGTTTTAAGAAAAAATACTGTGTTATTGTGTTTAGGTATAAATTTTAAGATTTTAAATGGAATTTTGTTATATTTTTTATAAAACTTTGCAAAAAAGCTTTTAAAATGTTGTTGATATTTGCGTTTTAAAGTTAATGTAACTTAATGATGTTTAAAGACTTGTTTTAGGGAAAGACCCTTGAACTTGAAGATTTTTCTCATCATTTTTTTTTAATATGTTCATCTTATCTTTTTCAACTTTTTAACACTTCATCATTTATCAATATTTATTGTTTAATTTAATCTTATCACTTTTGTTGTTTGTTTTCTTGTGTTTTTTTACATTTTAATTTGTTTTAGGTAGTAATTTATTGTATTTATTAACAGATCTTTTTGGGGACTAAAAACTAAAAACCATTATCATGTTAATTTTTCTTGTTTTTTTTTTTTTTTTTTGTTTTAATTCCCTCTCCAATTCCCTTTCTTTATCAATGAATATCGATGTCTTATTAAAACATAAAATTCAACACATAAAATTCATGTTTAAATAAAATTTAAATCTCATGAATTGATAACAAAATTTGCATAAATATCAATAAAACTAAAGAAATATCAAATTTTAAAATGATAACTGTTTTTTTTTTTTTCAAAAAGTAGGGAGAAAAAGCAACGTTAGATGACACCTATAAATTGACAATAAAAAGTAATTTATCAAAAAGATTAGCAACATATTAGAACGGCAACACTGAGCGAAAACACTTAGTTAACTTATAGATAATTTAAATTATTCTCCAGATTTTACTAAAGAGCTTTTAAAGCTTTTTTTTTAATTTCATAAAATTTTAAGATTATAAGTCTACAAGGCTTTTTAAAATATATTTTAGCAAAAAAGCTTTTATTTTCTATGTATTTTTCTTTATTTATTTAATAAAACCCATTGAACCTGAACGATTTTTTCGTTATTCACCAGAAATCTTAAAAAATCTCTAGCAATTTTTATATAATTTAGTTTTAAAACACCATACCCTGCCTATAATTTTGTTAATTTCCTTTTTTTTAAGCTCTTAAATGCATATAAATAATAAAAATGAAAGTGAAAATTCTAAAAAAAGAATATTTATTACAAGTTTAGAAAAAAAAGGGAGGCGTTTGCTAAGCAAACTTGATTTCATAATTATTAATGGCAAATCAATGGCACCAGTACTTAAAACGCATACGCAAAAGCTATAATTTAAAGACACTATGTTTAGCCTACACTGATAACTTAGCAAACAAGATTGAAAGATTTAAAAAAGAGTTATTTATCAAAATTAAATGAACCAAAAAATAAAAATTATTTAAAAATCTATACAAATTATTTAAACACTATTTTCTTGTTTTTCTCTTTACAGTTAATATTTTATGCACTCAGCTGTATTTAGGATTTGAATTTTAAGGTAAGTTTTTTTATTTTGATAAATTTTTCTAAAAAAATTAGAAAAATTTTAATTCTAGCTCTGTTCTAGTTCTGCTCTAGTTCTGCTCTAGTTCTGTTCTAGTTCTGTTCTAGTTCTGTTCTAGTTCTGTTCTAGTTCTGTTCTAGTTCTGTTCTAGTTCTGTTCTAGTTCTGTTCTAGTTCTGTTCTAGTTCTGTTCTAGTTCTGTTCTAGTTCTGTTCTAGTTCTGTTCTAGTTCTGTTCTAGTTCTGTTCTAGTTCTGTTCTAGTTCTGTTTCTAGTTCTGTTCTAGTTCTGTTCTAGTTCTGTTCTAGTTCTGTTCTAGTTCTGTTCTAGTTCTGTTCTAGTTCTGTTCTAGTTCTGTTCTTAGTTTATGTTCTAGTCTGTCTAGTTCTGTTCTAGTTCTGTTCTAGTTCTGTTCTAGTTCTGCTGTTCTAGTTCTGTTCTAGTTCTGTTCTAGTTCTGTTTCTAGTTCTGTCTATGTTCTGTTCTAGTTCTGTCTAGTTCTGTTCTAGTTCTGTTCTAGTTCTGTTCTAGTTCTGTCTAGTTCTGTTCTAGTTCTGTTCTAGTTCTGTTCTAGTTCTGTTTCTAGTCTGTTCTAGTTTCTGTTTAAGTTCGTTCTAGTTCTGTTCTAGTTCTGTTCTAGTTCTAGTTCTTCCAGTTTCTGTTCTAGTTCTGTTCTAGTTCGTTCTAGTTCTTCTAGTTCTGTTCTTGTTCTGTTCTAGTTCTGTTCTAGGTTCTGTTCTAGTTCATGTTCTAGTTCAGTTCTAGTTCTGTTCTAGTTTTGTTCTAGTTCTGTTCTAGTTCTGTTCTAGTTCTGTTCTAGTTCTGTTCTAGTTCTGTTCTAGTTCTGTTCTAGTTCTGTTCTAGTTCTGTTCTAGTTCTGTTCTAGTTCTGTTCTAGTTCTGTTCTAGTTCTGTTCTTGTTCTGTTCTAGTTCTGTTCTAGTTCTGTTCTAGTTCTGTTCTAGTTCAGTTCTAGTTCAGTTCTAGTTCTGTTCTAGTTCTGTTCTAGTTCTGTTCTAGTTCTGTTCTAGTTCTGTTCTAGTTCTGTTCTAGTTCTGTTCTAGTTCTAGTTCTGTTCTAGTTCTGTTCTAGTTCTGTTCTAGTTCTGTTCTGTTCTAGTTCTGTTCTAGTTCTGTTCTAGTTCTGTTCTGTTCTAGTTCTGTTCTAGTTCTGTTCTAGTTCTGTTCTAGTTCTGTTCTAGTTCTGTTCTAGTTCTGTTCTAGTTCTGTTCTAGTTCTGTTCTAGTTCTGTTCTAGTTCTGTTCTAGTTCTGTTCTAGTTCTGTTCTAGTTCTGTTCTAGTTCTGTTCTAGTTCTGTTCTAATTCTGTTCTAGTTCTGTTCTAGTTCTGTTCTAGTTCTGTTCTAGTTCTCTTCTAGTTCTGTTCTAGTTCTGTTCTAGTTCTGTTCTAGTTCTGTTCTAGTTCTGTTCTTGTTCTGCTCTAGTTCTGTTCTAGTTCTGTTCTAGTTCTGTTCTGTTCTAGTTCTCTTGTAGTTCTGTTGTAGTTCTGTTGTAGTTCTGTTGTAGTTCTGTTGTAGTTCTGTTGTAGTTCTGTTGTAGTTATGTTCTAGTTCTGTTCTAGTTCTGTTCTAGTTCTCTTCTAGTTCTGTTCTAGTTCTGTTCTAGTTCTATTCTAGTTCTGTTCTAGTTCTGTTCTAGTTCTGTTCTAGATCTGTTCTAGTTCTGTTCTAGTTCTTTTCTAGTTCTGTTCTAGTTCTGTTCTAGTTCTGTTCTAGTTCTGTTCTAGTTCTGTTCTAGTTCTGTTCTAGTTCTGTTCTAGTTCTGTTCTAGTTCTGTTCTAGTTCTGTTCTAGTTCTGTTCTAGTTCTGTTCTAGTTCTGTTCTAGTTCTGTACTAGATCTATTCTAGTTCTGTTCAACATGGCGTATGAAAATGTAACTTTTTAAGCTTTAAAATTTACCAATATTAAGTATGTATGTATGTATTTTTTATTATCCAGCTGTAAATTGTTTTTAAAATTATTTCTTAGAATAATATAAAAAACGTATTTTTTTACTTAATCAAAATCTTAAGGTTTTTTGATATCTTACTTAAAGTTTGCTTTTCTGATACCTTTAAACCGACTCCTTAATAAAAACAAAAAGCAAACAAGAGACCACCTATAAAAAGTTTTATATTAGAGTTTCATTAAACAAACAACAGCCAGGCAAAAAAAAATCTGCAGTAAAACCTAAAACATTCTACAAGTTTAAGAAAGATTACTAAACGATAACCTACTCCGTTTAAACCTTTGAAAAAGTATGTTTTTTTTCTAAAGTCCACCTTTTAAAATGAACTCGAAAACACAGGCTTAGCTCAAGCCCAGCCACACACCAGGAAAAATAAGTTGCTTTACACATAGAAAATCATACATGCGCTTGTTTTTTTAGTGTATTTTTGTTGTTGTTATTGTTGCTGTTAAGGCATGCAATACTCGCTAAAAATGTCTGTAAAACAAACAAGTTCAATTACAATTATACATACATACACAACCACATATACAAATAAACCTTTATGTTTACATTTAAAAAATACTTGGAGCATGTTTCTCCCCTTTTACTCTCTTCGTCGTATTCCTTAAAAGTCCTCTTTTGTTTATTTATTTTGCATGCTTATATGCAAGAGTTTGTTTAAATGTTTGCTTTGTTTATTTCTTTTCTTTTCGGACAAAGCTTAGCTTAAGCCTTGTGCTCTGTTTATGGTCGATGAGTGAATTTGAAAATGTTGTTCAAAAACACAACTATGGGCTTCACATGTGTCAATTTTGTTATATGTATGCTTTTTGAGGTTAATTTAAAGAATTTTTGCAGAAAAGTTATAACTAAAATGCAATTTAAAGAGACCAATTAAAAGATTTTTTGTTGAAATACTAAAACTTAGATATTCAGTAATTAAAAAGTTAGAACTAGAACAGAACTAGAAGAGAACTAGAACAGAACTAGAACAGAACTAGAACAGAACTAGAACAACAGAACTAGAACAGAACTAGAACAGAACTAGAACAGAACTGGAACAGAACTGGAACAGAACAGAACTAGAACAGAACAGAACTAGAACAGAACTAGAACAGAACTAGAACAGAACTAGAACAGAACTAGAACAGAACTAGAACAGAACTAGAACAGAACTAGAACAGAACTAGAACAGAACTAGAACAGAACTAGAACAGAACTAGAACTAGAACAGAACTAGAACAGAACTAGAACAGAACTAGAACAGAACTAGAACAGAACTAGAACAGAACTAGAACAGAACTAGAACAGAACTAGAACAGAACTAAACAGAACTAGAACAGAACTAGAACAGAACTAGAACAGAACTAGAACAGAACTAGACAGAACTAGAACAGAACTGAACAGAACTAAAACAGAACTAGAACCAGAACTAGACAGAACTAGAACAGAACGAGAACAAGAACTAGAACAGAACTAGAACCAGACTAGAACAGAACGAGAACAGAACTAGAACAGAACTAGACAGAACCAGAACATAACTAGAACAGAACTAGAACAGAACTAAACAGAATTAGAACAGAACTAGAAACAGAACTAAGAACAGACCGGTAGAACAGAACTAGAAACAGAACTAGAACAGAACTAGAAACAGGGGAACTAGAACAGAACTTGGAACAGAACTAGAACAGAACTAGAATCAGAACTAGAACAGAACTAGAACAGAACTAACAAGAATTAGAACAGAACTAGAAACAGAACTAGAACAGAACTAGAACAGAACTAGAACAACAGAACTAGAACAAAACTAGAACAAAACTAGAACAGAACTAGAACAGAACTAGAACAGAACTAGAACAGAACTAGAACCGAACTAGAACAGGACTAGAAACTAGAACTAGAACAGAACTAGAACAGAATTAGAACAGAACTAGAACAGAACTAGAACAGAACTAGAACAGAACTAGAACAGAACTAGAACAGAACTAGAACAGCAGAACTAGCACAGAACTAGAACAGAACTAGAACAGGACTAGAACAGAACTAACAGAATAGAACAGAACTAAGAACAGAACTAGAACAGAACTAGAACAGAACTAGAACAAGAACTAGAACAGAACTAGAACAGAACTAGAACAGAACTAGAACAGAACTAGAACAGAACTAGAACAGAACTAGAACAGAACTAGAACAGAACTAGAACAGAACTAGAACAGAACTAGAAACAGAACTAGAACAGAACTAGAACAGAACTAGAACAGAACTAGAAACAGAACTAGAACAGAACTAGAACAGAACTAGAACAGAACTAGAACAGAACTAGAACAGAACTAGAACAGAACTAGAACAGAACTAGAACAGAACTAGAACAGAACTAGAACAGAACTAGAACAGAACTAGAACAGAACTAGAACAGAACTAGAACAGAACTAGAACAGAACTAGAACAGAACTAGAACAGAACTAGAACAGAACTAGAACAGAACTAGAACAGAACTAGAACAGAACTAGAACAGAACTAGAACAGAACTAGAACAGAACTAGAACAGAACTAGAACAGAACTAGAACAGAACTAGAACAGAACTAGAACAGAACTAAACAGAATTAGAACAGAACTAGAACAGAACTAGAACAGAACTAGAACAGAACTAGAACAGAACTAGAACAGAACTAGAACAGAACTAGAACAGAACTAGAACAGAACTAGAACAGAACTAGAACAGAACTAGAACAGAACTAGAACAGAACTAGAACAGAACTAGAACAGAACTAGAACAGAACTAGAACAGGACTAGAACTAGAACTAGAACAGAACTAGAACAGAATTAGAACAGAACTAGAACAGAACTAGAACAGAACTAGAACAGAACTAGAACTAGAATAGAACTAGAACAGAACTAGAGCAGAACTAGAACAGAACTAGAACAAAACTAGAACATAACTAGAACAGAACTAGAACAGGACTAGAACAGGACTAGAACAGGACTAGAACAAAACTAGAACGGAACTAAAACAGAACTAGAACAGAAATAGAACAGAACTAGAACAG